CTTTTCATTGTTTTGTGTTGTTTCAGACTGTTTTGTGTTGTGTGCAGACTATCTACTAAAACTTTTTAAATAAAAATGTTCAAAAATAAACATCTTAAAAATAGTTTCCAAGGAGAATGCTTTTCAAAACTCACTGGCATACTGTGAATTATCATTTTGTATGAGAAAAAGTGGGGGGAGGGTGTATGTCTACATAATTACTTGTAGAAGCATGAACCATCTCTGATGAGAATAGGGTGGCTGTGGACTTGGATAGGAGACTTACTCCTGTTCATCTTTTTGTACCTTTTGATTTTAAAAAGTATATATAATAAAAATTAAAATAGTTGTTTTAAAAGTTTATTAGAACTGTAGAGAAAGTGGAAAGGTATTTTAGGAAATAAGAACAGCATGCTTTGTAGGGTCACACAGCCCTCGTTTCAGGTCTGGACTCTTTTAATAGCTGTATGATGTTGGGCAACTTGCTGAATCTCTGGGCCTTTTCTGTAAAACTGTCATGGGGATTACATGGAACATATTAGATATAAAGCACATTTTCTACCATAGCACACATTAAGAGGTCAGCAATTTGTAGTCATTGTTACATGGCAGATGAAATCTTTGTAATTCCAAAACGGTTTCAGGGGTTCTAAAATAGCAGTACAGGGCAAGAACCTTGGGACTCAGTTCAGTGTTGCTCCTTGGGCTGTGTAACAGCCCCATAACAAGGCTTTGACACTGTCCTACATCAGTGGGAAGTCCATGGCTTACCCTAAAGAGACCCAAGGTGGCACAATGCCACTTTACAACACCAATTGATTGAGTTAATGTTTCTCACTTGTTTTGTGATTTCTCACAAGAGCTATGTCAAATGAACACAGAGATTTTCAAAGTGTTAATGAAATAACTATAAAGACTTGTAAAATCCACGGAGCATCTAGCACTTCATCTCTTTTTTGTCTTTTCACATTATTGATATTATAATAAATCTGTTGGTATATTATAAAGTACCATCTATGACCAAATATAATTCATTTGCTTCTTTACTTAGGTCATATTATTTGAAATGGCTAGCAGATCTCATACTATTCTAATGGCAAACAGATGTCTGAATCTGGCTGATCATGCACCTATTGGTGAAAAACTCCAGACTCCGGATATGTATGCATCTTTTATCACCGTAGTATTTGCATGAGTGTTATATGTATTTTTGGAACTTTGATAACAGGCTCTGGTACTTACAACTCTTTATACAGATATACACACGAAAATTTTTACATTGAAATTTGCTTTTCATAATTGCTAATGGCATATATTTTGCAGCATGAAATAAAATAATTCAAAATAGACATATATTTTTGTGTTATTCTTCTTAACAAATGATAATCTGAACTTGTTTCCTAGCTTGCATTAATAACAGTTGCATTTTTTCCAACGCTGAACTTGATAAAGACTGAGACAGAGGACAAGATCAGTAACATTTTGTAATAACTATTGTATGTGATTCCACAAACTGAATTTTGATAAGAGCTGATGAAAAAAGGAGTGAGGCTGCAGCCTCATAGGAATTCTGGTGCAGCGTTACAGAAATGGAAGAGCAGCGACCCTGTGAGGCAAAACCAAGTGTTACACTCAGGTACACAGGAAATTCTTGATGCTTGCAGATTACAAAGGATTTCTGAAAGGGCACTTATTTTTACATACCTGGATTCAGTCAACCACAGAACTTATGTGCTGTGTGCTACATAAGTTTACACACATGTTACCTCAATATCTTTTATTTTTAGGTTGACACAAAATATGCTGGCTCGTGGGGGAAAATTGCAAGCTTTGATCATTTTGATAACTTATGACCTTGAAAGTTGACATACAGACAATAACCTTGAGTTCTTTTGTTTTCGTTGTTATTTTAATCTGACTAGCTCTCAGTTACATTAATGTAGGCTGAGCCAAGGTTTTAGAGAAAATGTTAGACTACAGTAAAGAAATATTAATATAAAAAAAACCTGAGATATTTTATATTTCACAAAGTAGATTCTGCTGGATCAGTATTTTTCGTTTAATGTTTGGCCTACCAGTTATTCTAATTATGGAAAATGGAAAAAAACCAAACCAAACTGCCACAGTATGTCTCTCCTCTAAGGAAACATTGTCATTGTTACTGTGGATGTGAAGTCCCTCAACATGTTTTCTTAGGGTGCTGAATAGGTTTTCCTTCTCAATAGTCCAAAACTCCAGCAATTCAGTACTTTAGGGACAATAATTTTAATGCCTTGTTACATTTTTTTGCTGATTAAAATTTATGAAGGGCTCAAGTGTGGGCTTTTATCTGCACTAATATGTGATAATCCCGATACATCAGATGCACTGTGAAGTTCTTGTCATTTGAAGTTTATTTCAATGGTTTATTATTAAAGAAGTGCCCAATGATACATCAAGAGAACAAGCTGAGCTGGTTATGAACGAATGATCTGTTTTTTTATTTTTCAAGATTACTAATGAAGCAAAACACTTTCTTTAAGTAAAAACATCATAGCATCGGGCTGGCCAGGTGGCGGGTTGGTTTAAGAGCTGGCTTGGGACGCCAGAGGGCCCCGTTTTGGATCCCACATATGAGGACCAGTGACACTGCCCTCTACAGCTAAGATGGTGAACAACAGCTCAACCTGAAGCTGGGCTGCCGAGAGTCGCCGGCGGTGGCATAGGCTGCAGCCCCTGCTGCAGTGGGTTGCCATGGGCTACCGTGTGTAGCCAGCAGCCAGCGTGAGTGGCCAGCATCCGCAGCGAGCGACTGTCCAGAAGCCGGCAACTGATCTGCCTTGCCTGGGAAGAGCGCAATGATGGTGCCAACTTGGGCCAGTGAAGCAACATCCTCCACAACTAGACTGAAGAACAAAAAGGACAGCAACTTGTCTGTTCCCCTTCTCCCAATTCCCCAATAAAAATATTTTAAAAAACAAAACAAAACAAAACATCTTAGCATGGCTTTCCAGTATTTCGGCAAGCTGTCTCTGTGTTTTCAGGTTGAAGATTCCCTGTGCTCTCCAGTATATTCTCTGTGAGAGGAGACAATCTTAGCATCTCAAGGCTCCCGAAGGCTATGAATGTGGTCCTCACTAACCCTGCCGAGCTGTTTTGTTTTCTGATGAACTCTGAACTAGTGGAACAAATATTTTGCTCTCTTCAGCCCAGACAGTATCTTATTTCTACAGCACAGGAGATGTTAGAGATAGTATTGCTGAGATAGACATGTGTACACATATGTATGTATATATTAAATCTATTTATATATATATATATGTGAACTCTATGCATATACATATATAAAATCTATTTTACTTGTTCAAGAAGTATATATTTAAATGGTAAATTGATATAAATGAATTACTGTGTAGTGTAAAAAAATTACCTCTTCACTGTTTAATTATTACCAAAGTAGCACATGTTTTATAATTCTTCAGCTTTATTAGTTAAACAAAACATAAAAATATATAGTGGAAATAAAAATACTTTTGGAATTTGACATGCATCTACAGTGAAAGCTTTAATCATGGAAGCAACAGTTAACATAGAGTAGTTAGGTGCACTGTGCTAGATGTGTTATATGCATTATCTCAGGGGTCAGTGAACTCCTTCTATACAGGGGCCTGATAGTAAATATGTTCTCCAGCTTAGTGGGCCACACAGTCTCTGTCCTAACTACTCAACACTGCCCATATACATGCAGAGCAAAACCAACCATAAATGAATAAGCTTGGCTATGTTCCAATGAAACTTAGTTTATAGTCACTGAAATGTGAATTTCATAATTTTCACATGTCACAAAATATTATCCTTAAAAATATTTTTAAAATCTGTTGAGAAATCGAATAGTCATTCTTAGCTTACAGGCCATTCAAAAACAGAAAGCAGGTTATATTTGGCCCTGGACCCATAGTTTGCTGACTTCTGTATTATCTCATTGGGTTAGTGGGGTTTCCTGAATGACCAGGTATATGGAGATTATACTGTCAAGGAATGGGAAAGAGTTTTCTCACTAGCCTTGTTCCCTGTCCTACTATCAATCATTTTCTGCCTCACGGCTGTCACGGAGACGGATGGGGCTTTATTCAATTGTGTTTAAGGTTGAAAGCAGCTCCTACATGTCTAAGCTCTAGACAAACCAACTTAACTTCAAGCAACTGCAAGAATATACAACTGATGTTGAGGGTTTGAGCTGGAGTGACATGACCAGAATTGGGTGTTTTTATAGTTCAAGCTGCCTAGAATGTCGCCAAGCACCAAAGCGACAAGTTGTTGCAGTAACCCCTGGAAGAGACAATGGAGATCTTGACTGGGCTGGCAGAAACAGGGGACTAAGAACAGTATACATATTAGAGGTGTATTTAGGATTAGGTTCTAGCTTGGATAAGGATTCATTACATTGTTTTACACCTGTCTCGCAGGATAAAAGAGATGATACTTTAAAAGTAATTTTTAAAGCACTACTTAAATTTGGTTACAATAGTATATCTTTTCCCTTTTAATTATTAATGCCGTTTTAAAAAGTACTGGATCTCATCGGGTTGGCTAATTTGCTGATTTCCTACCCAAAGTGGAGCATAACATTTTTAGTTTTTAGCATAAAACTTAGTTGGAAATACTTTTTCTGAACCACAAAAACGTCTGCATTCATCACACTCCAAAACCGGGAATCAACGTGTGGAGACACTTTGAATTTCCAGGCAATTTCCAGAGGTTTATCCTGCTCGCTACAGCGCTTTCCCACCGTTCCTCCGCGCCCGGCAACACCCCTGGACCCGCCCCCGACACTTTCCTCCTTGGTGTAAGGCTCCCACTGCCCCATCTCCCGCCTACTCGGGTAGCTCCGCCTCCTTCAGCTCAGCTTCCCAACTCCTTCCCTTCTTCCGTCGCTTTCCCCTCTCCCCGCCTCCACGGCTGCCTTCCATTGGCTAAACTGGCGGCGCCGCGGCAGAGATGCCCCAGATCCCAGTTCTAATTGGCTGACGGGTAACGGGCCTCTTGTGATTGGCTGATAGGAGCAGACAGCATGTGTGACTGCGCACCGGGTGTGTGGACGCCGCTTTGTTGCCTAGAGGGGGGTTACGATAGAAGTTAAGGGGGTCAAGAGGCTAGCACTTAACACCTGCAGTCGCGGCCTTTGCAGGCACGTCGCCGGGTAGTTTTCATCGTGGGAGTAGAGCCGACAGCAGCCATGAGCGGCGGCGTGTACGGGGGAGGTGAGTGCAGCTGAACTAAAGAGCGCGCCGTTTTAGCGTGCAGGGTTTACAACCGCCGCCCCCAGTCCTCTCCGCTCCTCCCCTCCGCGGTGGTCTCTTCCGGTCCCCAGGTCTCGGGACTCCGGCTTCCCCTCTCCATCCCCGCCCGGCGCTCTGCCCGCCCCCGGCGCCCACCCGGCTTTCTGAACGCGCCTCTGTCGCCGGGAGTCGCCGCACCCTGAGGTCCTTTCCAGCCTTGGTACCCGGAGAAGCGGGTTTGGGGGATGCGCGCCGGCATCGGGGCTGGGAAGGCAGTTGTGTCCTGGGGGCCGGCCCCCTGAGCCCCGGCTTGAGTGACCTGTCCCACGGTCGCATCTCTCCCAGTGTCTCCTAACTCGGTTATGTCGGGGTGTGCGCGCGTGTGTGTTTAAACTTGGGAAGTCCCTGCATTTGCGGGGGGATTTCTGCAACGCCCGGTAGATGGCAAAGCGAGCGCGATAGGTAGAACTGATTGGAAGAGTGACGGCCACTCAGGACGCAGCCTGCTCTCCGTCTGCGCTCAGCGCTCCTGCTGCCTCACACCTTTCAGAAACTCCTGCGTATTTGTTGGCTGGATTGTCCAAATTACTCGTGCGCGTGTGTGTTCGGGATTAATTTAGGAACACATGTGTTTTAAGAATGCTTTCCGTGGGTAGGCTGTGGTGTAGTAGAAAGATTACCACGGGCCTGGAAGTTAACACAGCCCCTGGTTGTAATATCAGCCTCACCAATTCGTTTAGCGCTTTGGCCTTGGGCAGGTGACTTAACTTTTCTCAACTTCAGGCTTCTCATTTATGGAATGATAATTCCCAGCCAGTGTGTGGTTGTGAACGTTAAATGAGATAATACTATACTTGCTCCTCTAAGTGAGGTTCATGAATCAATAGTTCAGCATCCCTAGCAACCTATTAGAATTGCAGAATCTCCAGCCCCACTGTAAGACTACTGAATCAGAGCCTCCATTTTTACAGATTGTTTAGATGGAACGCAGATGTATATGATTTATATTTTGTGTTCGTGTTTTGATGAGTTAGAGAACAGGAGACAAACCCAAAAGGTTATTGTGCCTAGTAAGGATGCTGTTTCTGAAAAGGATGGCATTCTAATTGGTAGGAGATAAAGTTTTCAAGATTCTTAGTGTTTGGAGTGTAGCTTGAGTCTCTTCTGAGGCGGTAGGCTGACCCTCGCTCCTGCCATACCCGTTGATGCTCTTGGTTTTGATTTCTCAAACACCAGAGTCCGTAGTTTCCCGTTTTACTTTGGAGAAAGACTGATGGGTCTTCCTGATTTACCTCTTCCTTATCTGAAGATGGAATTCTTACAGGAAAACTGGATCTGCGTGCCTTTGCCTCCTAGAGACTGGTAGACTCTATTTTGACTTTCAGGTTCACAGATCCAAGGGCTTAGAGACTTTCCATTGAGTATTTCTGTACAAGGCGTTTTTTAATATGACTAAGGTAGAATGGATACTAATATCGCCAGCAGCTAACATTTATTGAATGCATACTGTGTACCAAGAACTGTTACAGAGGCTTTTAATGCGTTGCATTTAATACTTGGATTAACTCAGTTAATCCACAACAACTATAGGAGGAGGTGGTACTACTATCCCCATTTTACTGAAGAAGAAAATGAGGTACAGAAAAAAATTAAATAATCAGTCCAAAGTTATGTAACTTCCTCATAAGGAACAAGAATCTCTAGAATGAAGAAAAGGCGTTTCTGTAAAAACTGTTACCATTTAAAAAGAGTTTTTTGGTTACTTTTCCATAAGTCGTTTTTCAAGTGTATAACCACAGCATATTCACGTGTGGTTTAGGTATTCAGAATTAACATCCTCTTTTTCATTTGCTTATGTAGAGGAATAGATGTTAAAGCTTATTTCACTTATGAAGTATTTTAAACTCACAAAAGTAAGTATATGGTTTTGTGTTTGCGCTATCACTGTATGTACGGCCATTATATATAGTAGGTCACATTTTCCAAAGGGTTTGCTGTGGGAAGCAACCAAACCTCCCACTTAAATTTTGTGTAATTAACTTTGTAAAGTGTATTGTTAACTTGTGTACTTATTAAATTAGTTTAAATTTTAGTTTAAATTTTGAAATTTATGGCTGTCTTTTTCCAATAGTTATTTCTGACCAGATCAGACACTGATTTTTAGCCTTAGGCATAATGCATAATTCATCCAGATTTCTGTACTTTCTAACTGGTTTCTGGGCCTACTCATTGCTCTTGCAGTCATCTTTAATGCTACTCCTCTACTTCAGACTCCTTTGTGTGATAAACAGGTATGCTACCCACCCAACTTTGATAAATTGTTAGTTGCATCGTTTCTGCACCTTTAAATCTCTAAGCTTAAAATTTTCTTCAAATCCTCTTCCCCGTGAGTTGAGGCACACTTATCTATACAAAAAATAAAAACAATCTCCCCACCTCTCCCCAAAGTCATTAGCCTCCAGTATTGTATCGGAATGCTTTAAGATCAGGTTAGAAGATTGCCATTGCTTTGTGCTTTCTCAGAAAAATCACATCACCCTTACACTTGAAAGCCATTTACTTGGGGGGAAAATCATGAAAACAGTCAAAAACATGGAGACAGCAGCATTTTTAGTATAAAAGGGAATAAATCCTTGAGGGTCTTTATCTATTAGATTGCATCCTAGTTTTTAAATATCCAGACTTCTGAGGTGATAATATTTAAGCCTCCTATCTCTCTCTTTGCCATTCTCCCATACCTTGGTGTTTGGCTTTTAACAAAACAAGGTACAGGAAATAGATGTGTCTTTCTTCCTTAAAAAATGGGGGAAATCAGCAGATGTAAAATTCTAAGAATCAGACATTTTACTCAAATTACAATTCTATGCCCAGTATACCTTACTAATTAAGACAGGAAACTAACTGATTTGTTAGATTTTTTATTTGTTTATTTAACAACAAATTGGTGTGCTTGTTATGTACCTCTGACTTCAAGAAGCTCTCATCTTATAGATGAGTCACTCAAGTAAATAGACACCATAACTCCATTAATTTTTAGTTGTATATTTTTCCCCACCCTTAAAAAGCTGAAGTTGGAATATTTCTCAATATTGATGGCGTGGCAGAGTTTATTTGGGAGCACGTTTTTTTCTTATAGGTGCATGAAATAATGGTGCGTCTTATAGTGTCTTACATTAATGAGAATGTGTAATCCATTCAATGAAGTATGTTGAGTGATGATAATACACAGAAGGTACAAAGATAGCACAGACAGAAAAGTTATTAACTCAGCATGGGGCAGTCAGGGGAGTTTATAAGAGAGCCTATGGGGATAATGGAAGAGGAGTGGACAGGGACAGCATACGCACAGGTTAGCTGAGTGAGAGTACATGGCGTGTTTAGTGACTGCGTATTATTCAGTTATGCTAGTGTATGAGGTGGGAAGTGAGACTGCTGCCAGATTTTGCTAGGTCTTAAATATCAGCTGGTTAGAATGATAATGAGAAACTACTGAATGATTCTTCTGTTTGTTTTCATTGCAAGACTTATGTTCAAAATTACAGTTTGAAAGATCACAGTGCAGGAGTTTAAGAGGACGATGGAGAAGGTGAAGAGATACTGTAGGGAATTGTAGCAGTACCCTGTGGGGATAAGGCAGCAACAATGGTATTAAAAATGAAGGGATTTGGGAAATCTTTAACAGAAATATTTGGCAGAAATCGATGAGGGGTTTGAAAAATGAAGGCTTTCACAATTCTGAAAAACTTCAGAGGTATTTGCCTATGATAATTGGGGCCACTGTGATAAGCAGTGCTGAGATTAGGTTAGGCAGGATGGGGAAAAGAAAACTGTGCTCCAGATATGTTGAATTTGAGGTACCCATGGGACATCAGGTAGAATTGATGTTGATGTACAATAAGAAGTTCAAGATACAGATTTAGGTGAAGTTGAGGGCTTGAGAGAGAGATTTGAGATTGGAATTATTAGTATTTAGGCAGAAGTTGAGGCTGTAGGAGTGATAATTTTAACCTACTTCATAAAGTAGTTGTGAAGAGTGAGTGGGAAAAATCTTCAACACTCAGCACTAGCCTTTTACAGGGTCCTGTGGCCACATCTTTCTTAAATGTCTAGTACTGTCATGTTATCTTGATTCAATACAAGCAGAAAAAAGTATTCTCTCTATTTACTTTTTCATTAAATGTCAATTATCAAGGGATTCCAAACATGAGCTTAAGTTCTCCCCTCAGCTGCAGGAAACTTTTTAAAAATTATTTTCCCAAGTTTATTGAGATAATAATTTACATATACATGGTGTCAGTTTATGTCCAATGTATTGATTTGTTTGTTTTAATTTTTTTCTTTATTTTTCAATTACAGTTAATTCAGCTGCAAGGAACTTGAGTGTTGAAAACTGATGTGTGCATATTTTGGTTTTAGAAAAATAGTATTAAAATGATTATATAAACAAAGTGGTGTGGAGTTAATTCAGGCATGGAAGATAGAGCATTTTAACTGGTTTCTGGGGATAGTTCTAACAGGTACAATTACAGGTGGAAAAATAAAGAATATGTTTCCTGATATATCTGAATATGGGACTCTTACGATGTTTAGCTGTTGAGAGAGAAGGCTAAAAAAGGGAAGTTGGGACCAAATTGGGGAGGGCAGGGACTGAATACAAAGTGAAAGTATCTTAACTATTTTGTAGGCAGCAGAGAGTGTTTTTAGCAAAAGAGCAACATCAGTTGTGTGTTTTAGGAAGATGCTTCTGAATATTGCATTGCTTGTAGGGGATGTTGATTACTTAAGCCAGTGAGGTAAGGAGGGCACGGAAAAAAATGGAAAGTTTGAGTCTTAGAACAAGAGGCCTTGACAACTGATGAGTGAGGGGTGGATGCAAGGAAGATGACAGATTTTTAGCCTGGCTAATTGAGTTGGTGGTCCCAATAACTGGGAATAGCCTGAGAATGAGGAAAGAAAATGATGGTTGTCTTGAAGACACAAAA